ATAGCAAGGCAGAAGTTGTATTTGCTGTGATAAAAAACTGAATTAATATTATATTATTCTAGTACAAGAAAACTAATGTCTCATTGCAATGAAAAAGCAAGGCTATCTTTCAATGTTTTGTTGTGGACTTGTTCTTCCCAGTTTGCTATTTGGAAAATTTGTTATAAGAATAGCAAGTCTTTTGTTGTTGTTGTGAATGATGTTGCCTTGTTTATTTTCACATTAGTTAAATAATAATCTTGTGTGTCAATAGGGTGGTTTTGACTACAAAAAAGCTATTGTTGATACTATTATCACTATCATTGAAGAAAACTCTGAAGCGAAGGAAGCTGGTAAGTCTCTATTTGATGATCTTTGTACTGTTTAGAAATGGATAACTTTTTCACTTTCTACCATAATCATAAAACCATCTGAGTTCCAGTTTTGCCTAATGTTACTTGTGATTTTGAAAGATTGCTCTCACTTGTTTACAAGATACATTGATAGTCTCTCTCCAATACACCTTTTCAGTTGCACTTAGGCTTCGATAGCAAGTTAATTATTCTTTGAATTTGACAAATGAGACTATTCATATCAATGTTTGCATTGCTCACATTCCTACAAATTAAAAAGAATATTTAACACACTGTGGATGCCTAAGAGCAACTGAAAAGGTGTATTTGAAAAGTAATTATAGCACCTTTGCATCAAAGCAAGATAMCATTGTCTTTAGGTGTTAAAGATGGTTATTTTCATTGCCAATCATCTAACTTTGATTGAACGGATAACTACATTACTTTTCAAAATGAGATACATTTGAAGGTCTGTTTTGTCAAAACAACAACAAAAGTATTGATCAATCATGATATGATTTTTACTCAAGGTCTATCACATCTGTGTGAGTTCATTGAAGACTGTGARCATACTGTGCTAGCCACACGTATTCTTCATCTTCTTGGTCGTGAGGGGCCTAGATCTCAGCAACCTGGTCGATATATCAGGTTTATCTACAATCGAGTTATTCTGGAGAATGCTGCTGTTCGAGCTGGTAGGTATAATTACAGTTTTATTCATGAATTAGAGGAATGAATTACATAATATTGAAAATCATGGTTTAATTTCCAATAATAGTATAATAATTAGAGGCACTACAAAAAGTGTTAAGTGTTTTGTATCGTTATTGTTTAGCTGCTGTRACGTCACTGGCTAAGTTTGGTGCTCATTGTGAAAGTCTACTTCCAAGCATCGAGATCCTTTTGTCCAGGTTGGTACGATTGTAATAAATGCAGTGTGAAAAATCTCACACTTGTAAGTTTGTTCTAAAATTAATTCAATCTGGATAATGCGATATATATTTTAGGTGCTTGCTGGATACTGATGATGAGGTGCGTGATAGAGCAACCTTCTACCTCAAGGTACTTCAGGAAAAGGACAAGGGATTATCATCAGCTTACATACTCAATGGTATGTGTTTCTTTGATTCTAGTCACCTAGATATTGGACAACACTCCTCATTTGTGACTTTACAATACTAAAATTCAGTTTTATTTCTTCAGGTCTCCAAGTGTCCATTGTTGGACTAGAGTCAGCACTACATGCCTATGTCAAGGACACCAACCATGGTGCCCCCTTTGACCTCAAGACAGTACCCCTTGCAACCACGCCCATGCAAGAACAAGTCATCAAGGCTGGGAAACCAGTTATTGAAACCCCTGCACCAACMACTAAGGCTGCTGCCCCTGTTGCTGCTGCYAGACAAGATGTGTATGCCTGTAAGTATCTTACAAGTCTCACAAGATTCCTTGTCACTAGACTCAGCAATCAATATGACTKKTTTTYGTTTCAGCTCAATTGGCAGGCATACCACAATTTGCTAAACTTGGTCCATTGTTCAGGTCATCGCCGACTCCCATTGAACTTACTGAATCTGAGACTGAGTATGTTGTCAACTGTGTCAAGCATGTCTTCAATGACCACATTATATTCCAGGTAGGGCTAGTTAGTAGTACAACAATATTTTAATTGTTTCATTTGAAGTATAAGACATTTAGCTAATTTTAATTCTAAGTTTGCTTAAGCAAGGGAGTTATTGTAAGGGGAAGATTTGTCACTCACTCACTCACTTTCCTGTAAACTGTTACTTTTTAGTTTGACTGTACCAATACCCTGAATGACCAAATACTGGAGAATGTAAAGGTGGAAGTTGAACCATCAGATGGAGAGTTTGAAGTGGCCTGTTATATCCCGTGTCCATTGCTCGCCTACAATCAACCAGGAACAACTTATACTCTCATTAAATTACCTGAAGACCCGTCATCCGGTATGTACGACTATTAAGACAAACTGCATTTCTCTATTTCTTTAGTCTCCTTCACGGTTACCTGCGCCATCTTGAAAGGTACCTGCGTCTTTACATCAAAGCGAAACAAATGTTGGGCATGCAATGATAGAAACCTTCTTTCACACCTACAGACAATTATTCACAGGTTTCTATCTTTGCACGCTCAACGGYTRTCTCGCTTCRACGTAAAGAAACTGCTACCTTTCAAGATKGCRCATGTAACCGTCAAGGAGACTATTTGYTCTTSCAACGGKCTAAGAACGAGTATGAAAATWTCTGTAATAACGTATATGCAGTATATGTCTTGGCATAGTACATCATGGTACTGATACAAGTGTCAAGTACATAATTATAATGTTCAGCTCATTGACGAAAAATACTAATAAATAAATGAATAACCCAGGGATTCCTTTTTTTCTTAGTGACATGTACATTTTCCAACACACTCAAGTTCGTTGTCAAGGACTGTGATCCCAAAACGGGTGAACCTGATGAAGAGGGATACGAAGATGAATATGTGGTATGTAACACTATCAATCACCTCAAACCTTCCCATCATGCACTGTCATTTTGCACAAAAAATGGTGTTATGTGTATTGTTGTTTGTTCAGTATTAARATTGTTGTGTCATGTTGTAATAATGTTCTTATCAAGATGACTGTAAGTACTAACATCTTTTTCATCACAGCTTGAGGATGTCGACCTTGTTGTTGCTGACCACGTTCAACGAGCTCTCAAGACCAATTTCTTGGCTTCTTGGGAAGAAGTTGGCGATGATTGTGAAATGCAGGATACTTATGCACTTTCGCAGATGTCAAGCTTAGAAGGTACAGGACTATATAGAATCATTTATATAGAAGACATAGGTGAATAGGATTTAGCATGTTCAAGCTTGTGTTGAACTCTGTTTATTTCATTGTATTGCAGAGGCTGTCAAGCAAATTATCGAATATCTCGGTATGCAACCGTGCGAACGCTCCGACCGGGTACCCGAGGGTAAAAGCTCGCATGCCTTGCTACTTGCCGGGGTGTATCGAGGTGGTAGTGATGTYCTCGTGAAGGCCCGACTCGCGTTCGACCAAGGCGTCACTATGAACATCATTGTACGAAGCAAGGACGCTACCGTCAGTGAAGTCATTCTCTCAGCTGTTGGCTAAACCTGTTATACTAGTTTTCAAACCAGTTTTACTTGTATACGATAACTATCAGATTCAAATATGCCAAAATCATGGATACAACTAATAGCGAAGTGCTCTTCCCCTTTGTTGGATAATAGTATTACTGATTTAAAACATCTTAACGGTAATTTTCCCTTGCAAATGTCAAAATTAAATACAATTTTATTTGACGATGTAACGAAAGATGCATTCTTGCAATCATTTCAAAAGTCCGTTAAAATTACACCAGAAATGAATGAATAAAGAAGTATTAATTTGAGGACTCGTTATCTTTTGATATATCTGTGCGCAATTGTAAGGTACTTTCATTTATCCCGTGAAATAGGTAGAGTGGTTTTTCATAAAGCCGTGAAACAAAGTATATAATAGTCAAATGTCTCCCGGATGAAGTATAGCTAATGACTAAGCAAT